ATGCTAAGAATCATACAGTATGTGGCCTTTTCAGATTGGCTTCTTTCACTTAATAATGTGCATTTAAATCTCTTTCATGTCTTCATGGCTTATTAGCAAACTTTTTAGTGCTTAATAATATTCCATTGTCAGGCTGTGGCACAGTTTATTTATTCACTCACTTACTGAAAGACATCTTGGTTGCTTCCAAGTTTGGGCAAGTATGAATAAAATTTCTGTAAAGGGCCAACCAGTGGTGTGGTGGTTCAAGCATTGCATCCCACATGATTGACTGCATAGTTTGAGTCCTGAACCCAGTGGCATGGAAAACATGCTGGTGCATATGCATGCATGCCCAAAATCCCTAGAGGAGAATATAAAAGAAAGGATTGCAGCATGGCCATCCCCCCAGGAGGATATCTCACTTTCCCTCTCTCTGTGTCTCTATCTGCCTCTCTCTGGCAAGTGCATGTGCCCTATGGCACAAAAATCTAAACAAACAAGTATGCTGGGCACGTGTGTGTGCATACTCCCAATCCTGAGAAGAGAGTGAAGGGGAAAGGATTGCAGCGTGGTCATTCTCCTTAGGGGTGCTGTCTCATTTCCCCCCTCTGTCTCTGTCTCTCTCCACCAAGTGCACAAGTCCTCTAGCAAATGTAAAACAATGCTGTAAACATCCGTGTACAGGTGTTTTTTTAAATGTTTGCTATAGGGCACATGTACTCATGAGAGCAAGCCAGAGAGAACCACAGTGGTGGTGGTGGTGGTGGTGGTGGTGGGGACAAGAAAGCACCGCCAGGGGTGATAGCTATGCCACAATCCCTTCTCCTCCACTCTCTTCTTGGGGTTTTGGGCACACATACACAAATGCTCAGTATATATCTCAAGCCACTGAGTCCAAGACTCGAACTACATAGAACTACATAGTTGCCTATGTGGGATCCAGCCTGCTGGTCCCAGAAAATGTTCAGTTTTGTAAGACTGCTGAACTGTCTTCCAAATTGGTTGTAACATTTTGCATTCCACCAGCAATGAATGAGAATTTCTGTTGCTCCATATACTTGCAAGCATTTGGTGTTGTCAGTGCTCTGGATTTTGATCATTCTAAAAAGTGTGTAATCCTGGGACCAGCAGTTAGCGTAATGGCTATGTCGCTGGACTCCCATGTAGTTGACCGCAGTTCGAGTCCCGGACCCAGTGGCTTAAAACTCATGCTGGGCGTGTGTGCGTGTGTGCCCAAGATCCCGAGAGGAGAACGGAGGAGAAGGGACTGTGGTGTGGCCACACCCCCCTTGGGGGGTGATTTCTCGCTTTCTGTCTCTCTGTCTGTCTGGCGAGTGCACGCGCCCTATGGCAAAAACCTCTCCAAAATAAATAAATAAATAAATAAAATGTGTAATCCTGAAGGAATTTAACCCATAGAAAGTTAGGGACAGACTAATTTCAGTCAGAGAGTAAATTCATATGATGTATCTAATGTGTGGCTGGAATTGATTGGAGCTTGGATTTTATCCTAAAAGTTATGAGTAGCTTTGGAAGACTGTTTTTTTAAAGAGAGATTTTTTCTGTATGGCACATGTGCTCACCGGAGAGACAGAAAGTGAACAATCATTCCCTGGGGGCATGGCCATGCTGCAATCCCTTTTCCTCCATTCTCCTCTCAGGATTTTGGGCACACACGCACATGTGCACAATGTGAGTTTGAAGCTGCTGGGTCCGGGACTTGAACTGCAATCAACTATGCGGGAATCCAGTGGTGTAACCATTATGCTATCTGCTGGTCCCTTAAAGAATTTTAAAAATATATTTTTTAGATTTTTTTAAATTTAACTTAATTTACTTATTTTATTTTACCAGAGAGGGACAGAGTGAGAGTGAGAGAGAGAGAGAGAGAGTAAGAAAGCAAGCCACCAGGTCTGGGACTTGAACCACAGTTGGCCATGTGGGAAACCATCGCCCTTAATCACCATGCCACCTGCTGGCCATGAAGACTCTTAAGTTGGAAAATGTCCTCTGTAGTGGGGGGAATTGTGGCCTCCAGAAAATCAGAACCTGCGAACGTAAATATCTTTGGCAAAAGGGTCTTAGCAGCTCTAATTAAGGAAAAGTTCTCTAGGTGAGAACATCCCTAATTAAGGCAGATCCTAAATCTAATGGCAAGCTTCCTAAGAAGAGAAAAGTGAAGACACAGGTATGCTTGTAATCTCAACTACTTAGGAGGCTGAGGTAGGAAAATTGAGTTCAAGGCCAGCCTAGGCAACAGAGTGAGGCCCTGTCTATAATAAAATACAAAACAATCAACAAAACACCCTCCCCAATAGAAGAGAGGGGTAAAGGAGATGCAGAAGAGAAGAGATTATCTGAAAATGGAGTTAGAAAAAAAAAAAGAAAGAAAGAAAAGAACACAGAGTCAGAAATTGGACTGATGTGTCTATAGGACAAGAAAATTCAAGGATTGCCAGCAGCTACCAGAAGCTAAGAGACAGTCCATGGACCAAATTCTTCCTCAGAGCCTCCAGAAGGAATCAACTCCAGCAGCAGCAGATTTCAGACTTCTGCCTTTCAGAGCTGTGAGAGAATAAATTTATTTATTTGTTACTAGTATTTATCTTTTAATTTGACCAGAGAGAGACAAAGAGAGAGAGAGAAGAAGGGAAAGTGAGAAAGGAAGCTGTGAGGTCTGAGACTCAAACCGGGGTCAGCCATGTGGGAGTTCAGTGCCTTAACCACCACGCCACCTGCTGGCCCCAAATTTCTGTTGTTTAACGTTACCCAGTTCGGAGTAATTTGTTATGGCAGCCCTAGCAAACTAATACACTCTGGACCATGCAATTCAATTGTCCTGAGACTCTCAGTCAAGTGCTCTTTTCCTTTGCCTGATATCCCACCCTCTTTGCCATCTGGTAAAATTATACTCATTCTTTATGATTCTTCTCAAATAGCACCTCTTCAGCAAAACCTTCTCTGATTTACCCCCTCTCCATCTTGGTAAATTTAGTAATTTCCTCTTCTATGATCCCATACTATTATCACCACATTTATGCTATAGAACTTATCACACTATATTGTATTATTTCTGTATATCTTCCTCACTTATCTATGATCTTCTAGGAGAAAGGTATCAGGGCTGGCAGGTGGCATGGTGATTAAGGCTGCTGGATTCCCACATGGCTGACCACGGTTTGAGTCCTAGACCCGGAGGCTTTCTCTCTGTCTCTGTCTCTGTCTCTCTCTCTCTCTCTGTGTCTGGTCAAATTAAAATAATAATAATAAATAAAGTTAAATGAAAAAAAATATTAAAGAAGGAAGAAGGTATCTTATTTGTACGTTCCCAGGACATAAGCACAATGCCTCGATAAATGTTTGCTGAATAAATCATTTCCATACATAGTTTCTTCAATCAGCTCTGTGTTTTGGGGAAGGCAAATCTGGCAACAGGATAAAGAATGGATTAGAGAGCAGAGAGCCTTTAGAAAGGGAGACCAGTTAGTGGGCTCTAGTAATAATCATGACTAGAAGTAATGAAAGGCCGATTTAGTACAGTCGCTGTGGTAATGGAAAGGAAGAAACTGCTACTGCTGCTGCGAGAAACACCACAGAAGCAGAGCTGATTTGATTCTTAGGGTGAGAGAGAGGGAGGAATTGAAGATAATTTTGAGGTTTCAAGTCTGGGTGACTGAGAGGGTGATGATGATACCATTAACTGAGATAGGGAAGATGGGAATAGAAGCAGAGTTTTAGGGAAGATGGGGAGTTTGAAGCTAGTCTTGTTCCTCCATTTCTTAATTTTTTTGTGGGGGGGGAGAGGTTTTTGCTATAGGGCGCGTGCACTCACCAGACAGACAGAGAGAAAAAGAGAGAAAGAAAGCGAGAAATCAGCCCCAGGGGGGATGGTCACGCCGCAATCCCTTCTCCTCCATGCTCCTCTTGGGATCTTGGACACACACGCACACGTGCCCAGCATGAGTTTAAGCCACTGGGTCCAGGACTCGAACCGCGGTCGACTACATGGGAGTCCAGCAACATAGCCATTACTCTAACTGCTGGTCCCTTAAATTTTTTTTTTGGAGAGGTTTTTGCTCTAGGGCACGTGTGCTCGCCAGGCAGACAGAGAGAGACAGAGAGACAGGAAGCGAGAAATCATCCCGCGGGGGGATGGCCCTTCCTCCATTTCTTGTACCTTCTTCTTAGTTAGACCTCCTCCCTAGCCTCAACGGGGACCCCACTCGAGCAGTAGCAAAGAGTGGGTATGCTTAAGGGTGGGTTCAGATTAGCCCAGAGGAAAGACAGATATACATGTGACCGCAGAAGCCAGGAGAGCATTTTCCGTCCTCCTAGGACAGTGGGATTTTGAGAGAGATGCAAAGGATAACTGAGCCAGGGAAAGAAGATGGGGGGTGGGGGGACCGATGGTGGGGAGAGTATGAAAATTTTTTCTTTTTCCTTTTTGCTGGAGAGGTTTTTGCTATAGGGTGTGTGCACTCACCAGAAAGACAGAGACAGAGAGACAGCAAGAAATCACCCCCCAGGGGAGATGGCCACACCACAATCTCTTCTCCTCCTTTCTCCTTTCAGGATCTTGGGCACACACGCACACGCACCCAGCGTGAGTGTAAGCCACCGGGTCCGGGATTCGAACTGCGGTCGACTACGTGGGAATCCAGCAGCAAAGCCATTTCGCTAACTGCTGGTCCCTCCCGGGAGGGTATGAAAATTCTGATGATCCTCTATGTAAGAGAATGTTTTAGATGAGAAGGTTGGGAATGATGGTAGTGGTGGTGAACAGAGTCTTCCCAGGGTCTCGGTGGGCTGAAGATTCTTGAGACTGTGGCATTATGTACACTCAGCCTTAGTCTCTACTAAAACCATCTTCTAGCAGCACTTAATCTCCCAGAGGACTCTGTGACACAGCACACATTTGCCACGCCTTGTGTAAAGCCCTGGTTTCTAAGGTTCTTTCCACCGGAAGCTATGACAAGAGGAAATGTGTGGGTCGGGGGTAGTGGGTGAGGGGTTCAAGTTCCTGACATAGATGACACCCTAGGACCGAAGAGCAAGCGCCATGTTGAAGCCATCATTGCCACTCACATCTCTCTTATTCCTGCAGCTGTCTCTGCTGGGAGTGGGGCTGAGCCCCATGGTCCTCACGCCCGGTGGGAATGAAGACACCACAGGTGGTGGGAGACCTTGGACTCGAGGGGGCTGGTGAGAAGGGAGGGTATAGGGAGTGGCTGTACAGAAATCTAGAAGCCCCGGTGGCCATTACAATAATGTGGGCAGAATTGAAAGGTAGAGTAGGGAGGGCAAAGGGGAGGATTCTCTGCTTCACCCTGCTCTTTCTTCTGAACATCATTTGTTCTCTTTTCCTCCCCTACTTAATTTTCTCCCTAACCTAGATTTCTCCCTGACCTCTATGCCCCCTGGGTCCCTCAGTGTTTCCACTCTGCCCCTCCCAGAGGTTCAGTGTTTTGTGTTCAATGCCGAGTACATGAACTGCACTTGGAACAGCAGCTCTGAGCCCCAGCCGACCAACCTGACTCTGCGCTATTGGTATGAGAAGGGAAGAGGGAGGGGGAGCAAAAGGGAGGCAGAGGAGGTGGGCTGGGTGGGAGAGAGAGCATGGGAACCAAGACAGAGGGAAGCCAGCTTCCCAGGCAACCCACTCTTCTCACAGGGTAAGTCGTATGTCAGTCCAGAGGAGACAAGGTTGGTGTGTAAATATTTGCATAAATTTGTCCCACTGTTCCTCTTCCTTTCAATCCTTCTCTAGGTACAAGAACTCTGCTGATAAGGTCCAGGAGTGTGGCCACTATCTATTCTCTGAAAAGATCACTTCTGGCTGTTGGTTGCAAAAAGAAGAGATCCATCTCTACCAAACATTTGTTGTCCAGCTCCAGTATCCACGGGAACCCAGGAGGCAGGCCAAACAGATGCTAAAACTGCAAGATCTGGGTAATTGGGAAAGAAGAGGTCAAGAGTCCAGGAATATTGTGGGGCACTGGAATCTATGGATTGGTGTTCTTTCACTCGAAGGGTACATGGACAGAAGGGAGGAAGTAGAGAATCAGGATGGGGAAGGGGGGTAAGGATAAGAAGCACTATCTTCAGGATCCTGACTTGTTTAGGTCAGGGGAATGACCACATATGCACGCATATCTCCAGTGATTCCCTGGGCTCCAGAAAATCTAACACTTCGTGACCTGAGTGAATCCCAGCTAGAACTGAGTTGGAGCAACAGATACTCAAGCCATTGTTTGGAGCACCTGGTGCAGTACCGGAGTGACCGGGATCGCAGCTGGACTGTGAGTGACTGGGGACATGAACGTAGTATCTAAGGCCAAGCAAGTGGGGATGAAGGATTCAATCCACCAGATAGGAAGACCTAATGTCGAGCTCCTGATCTCTGCCTCCCGGTTCCTTTGCCCATCCCCCAAACCCTCCAACTCCTTTCTCTATCATCAACAGTGACTTTTCATTAAGGATCCCTCCTATAACTCTTCCTAATACTGGATAGACAAGGAAACAAAAAGAAGCCTCTAGGGGAATCTGAAGGGGAAGCATTAGATTCAAGTGAAGGGAGCAGTGTGATTTGAATGGTCAAAAGGGGAGGGAGAAACTGGAAAGAACCAGAAGGTGACACTGGGGGTGGGCAGGGAGTGTGTTTTAATTCTCTTCTTTTATGGATACCCACTTTTCTCTCACTCTCTTT